GCCCGGCTTGGTAAAAAACAGCTATAAAGGAAGAGGATTTGGATAACTCCTCCAAGGGAAGGGAAGTAGTTGAATGTCTGTAGTAGGATATGCTTGGGCGCGGAATTCCTAGACAGATTCTTGTGTAGTTTTTGTAATTTGTTTTCTCTCTCACCTAAAAAAATATCACCTTAATTTTATTTTTCAAATGCATAAAGCACCCTAATTTTTTATATCCAGTATATAAAATCAAAGTGTTAAATGTACTTTTACTCAAATAAGAATATAGGATGAGCTGTGGGCATAACCTTAAGCTAGCCTTTACCTATATGTTTATCATTTTAAGTTATTACTCCTTCGTCTCTTAGAGTAAGAAACAACTACGAAAATTACGTAATTTAAAATATTAGTTAATTTAGTTATACTTAATGAATGTGTAATGTAGTATATATATACACATTTTTTTCCAATTATACTTTTGTTTGTAAAGAGATTAGATGAGAGATAATGAGTAGAAATTTGTTGTGGAGAGATAATAAATTGCATATATTTAATTGGGATAAAAATGAAAAGACTAGTTTAAAATTTCAGACAAAAAATTTACTTCTTATATTTACAAACACCAAAAAAAAAAATTATTTGTTATAAAAAGAGACAGAGCGAGAGAGTAGTGTGTTTATCATTGGAGGTTCATCCTCAGAACCTCTCTCCTTTTGATCATCTCTAGCTCTCTACTTATTGCTCTCTCTGTGCCCCTGCCTCTCATTCTTCAATCTTCACTCTTGAATTCTTATCTCTTAAACTTTGAAAAGCAAAATACCGAAGATTACAAAGCTACATAGGACTTACATATGAAAGTGGCGGCCATGAACCGTATGCTAGAAATTGAGTATTTCGGAAGGAAGCAGTTAAGGCTATGTTAATTGAAGGTTTGATAGAAAAACTTGTAGCCTTGCAGAGATCGGAACCAGATTATGAGCATATCGAGATAGATTAAAGAAGAAGATGCTGGTAGCTTAGGTAGAATATCTGGTTTGAGTTGTGGGATAATGTTCTTGAAGGTTATTCTGCTACGCACAACAGCTTCTTAGAATTAAAAGAACCATTCTTGTACAAAATCGGGGCAAACAAAAATAAAAAAGATCCCGTTGTAGTGCTAGCAGCCAGCCCATTCTTCTTCTTTGCCCTTTCTTTTAGCCCAAATTCATAACCACTAAGGCTCGCTTTAACTTGTGAAATATGGAACAGAGCACAAGAACTACAACAGAAAAGAAGGGGTTAACAGTGTTAGAGGAGTGGTAGAGAAATAGGAGGAGGGAAAGTAGGCAAAGAAGGTTTCTTCATAACCATCCGTTTGCAATAGTGTATTCTCTTACTAAAGATAATTGATCGGATAGTAAATATACACATTTTTTTAGTAGGAATTTAAACTTTAGTTCACTGTATTATGAGAGGCTAGCACATTCTACTAAATTTTTTAACTTTTGTAATGTTGGATTGTAATTAAACAATCAGAGATACACAAATGAAATGCATATTTGTCATATACTCGTGTTCGTTTTAGCATCTTTCATTTATTGGGCAACATTGGATAGTGACTAAAATTGGTCAAGGCCGATGTATGTTGATTGTTTGGTTTTGGATTGTCTGTTTCTCGTGAATGTCACAAAATATGTTTGGGTCAAGTGAAGTAAGCAAGAGGGTGGCTATGGAATCTGAATTCTGAAAAGGAATCTTTGTGGGACAATCATGTGCCGGAATGAGAAGCGAGCCTGAGGAATGACTCTTAAAATATGCACGTGTCTAAAATTACACGTCTTAAAATATGCAAATAGCCCAATCCTATATGGAAATATTTTCTAAAACTCGAGTAATCGAGTTCAAACCCCGTTGTGTATTTGCACGCTAGGCATTATATTTTTCGTTCTCTGTTTTTGGCATTCGTTTTTTTTGTGTTGTTTGGCTTATATGTTAGCTTATTTTTATGTTATAATAGTGCATTATTTCATAATAAAAATTATTTTATATAATATGAAAATAATATATTAAAATTAATGCAAGGGTATGTTTGTCCTTTTATCATGCCATACAAGAATTTTTTAAAATTCCTTTCCCATTCTCCCATCTCCAACAAAAACAAGTGCTCGTTAAAACCTTTTCTTCCTTTGTCTAAAGAGTTGGATGGCTACTAATAGAGATTGCGTTTTGCGAAAAGAGTTAGTTCCTCGTGATGAATTAAATTATAAATCTTTACTAAGAGAGGTGTTTATATTTCGGACTCAAAAACGTTTCGAATATAATTATCTCCAATAAGAAGCTCCCTATGCGTATCCAAAAGAATAATAATAATAAAGATTTGAATGGCTGGACTAATATTGGCTTTTGGTGAAGGCCCCCTCTGGTTATTAAAAAAAACTGAAATGATATTATCATTTTTATTTCTTAATATAAGAAATATTAATTAATTTAGATAAATTTAAAACGCCAAACAAATTAATCAATTATAATTTTCCTAAAATATTTATATACAAGAACTAAGATTTTAAAATCAAATCTAACCCTCTAATTTTTTTCCCATATTAGGAACAAGAAAGAACAACATTTATGGGCAAGCTAAAAGAAGTATTATCTTACAGGTACATTGTGGAGAAAGTGCAGCGGAAGCTATCGGGGTGGAAGGCTCGCTCTTTATCCTTAGCCGGGCGGATCACTCTGGCCCAATCAGTACTCTCTACGGTGCCACTATATGCGATGCAAACCACTAGAATTCCGGCATCAACTAATGCGAAGTTGCAAAGCATCATCAGAAACTTCATATGGGGATCAAGCGAAAACCATAAAGGCATCTCCCTAGTGCGATGGAAAGATGCCTGCCAGCCAAAGGAAAATGGAGGATGCAGCATAAAAGACTTAGCTCTTCACAACTCAGCTTTCCTTATTAAATTAGTGGTGGCAGTGATGTCAAAACTAGAATCTCTATGGGTAAAAGTGCTCCGAGCAAAATACAACTGGCAATCAAACTCAGACCAGCTGCCCAAAGCTAAAACTGGCTCCTATTTGTGGAAGAGCTTGGCTTCGGTTTGGGAGGAAGCTAGCTCGGGCATCAAATGGAGCAGTGGGAATGGAGGCCAAACTCGTTTCTAGGCAGACTACTGGATTGGTAATCAGGGTCCGCTAAAACGCCTTACCTCTGCACCTCTTGAAGATTATGATTTACAGGCAACAATATCCCAGTTTATAACCCCAAATGGCCAGTGGGACCGGAGCAAGTTCGAGAACAAACTCCCCCGAGAGACTGTAGAAGAAATCATGGCAGCGCCAGTACCCCTACGAACTGATCCGCCAGCAAAGTGCTATTGGCACCTAGAGAGAAGTGGTGAAGTTTCAGTTAAATCAGCCTACATCCTGCTCACTCAGAATGATTTAAATGAAGAAGAAAGTAAATGGGTGTTAGCATGGAGATGGCCAGGACCGAATAGAATTAAAACATTCCTCTGGCTAGCCATAGGAGGAAGGCTGCTAACTAACAGCGAGAGAACCAGACGACACATGACGAGTAACGCCTTCTGCGGAATCTGCAACTCGGGCACGGAAGACGTGGACCATGTTCTAAGACGATGCAGGCTAGCGGTGGAATGCTGGAAGCTAATCACGCCTTCCTCACACCTGACACGCTTCAGCATGATTAATCTTTCAGACTCGTTTCAGGAAAACCTCAGCTGTAGGAAGACCAACCCTCAATGGTGTGTCTTATTTGGAGTTATATGTTGGAGGTTATGGAACGCTCGCAACACCCTTATCTTCAGCAACGAGAGGACCCACAGTTTCCGTTTGATCAATGAGGCCATTTCTTTCACTGATCACATTATTACTGCCAAGGACTTCCGTAGCCAACTGAACTGCCTTTGAAGTCTAGTGCCCTGTCTTTCTTTTAATTCGTTTGTTGTTTTTGTTGCTTTCGAGTTGTAGGCTCCTTGTACATATCTTTGTTTTAATGAATTCCTTTTTACTCAAAAAAAAAAAAGAAGTATTATCTTAGGATTCGCTTTCAAGGGAGTGTTAGGATTAGTTTCGAAGAATAATTTTTGAAGAAAATAATAAAAAAGCTACTTTGCAAATTGATTTCAGAAGGATAGATTTTGTGGAAAATGTTAAAAAAATTTGACCTCTAAATGGGGTATAATAATACAGGGAGCATTGCTTTTGAATTTTGATTCATAACATTAATTTACGATCAGGAAATTTTAAATGTATGGACACATAATTTGAGTTGAACATATCATATTTATTATAAGTAGTAAACAAAGGCCAGTTTTCACTTCAATTATAAAATATCAATCTATCAATTGAGCACCACTACCAATATGATATTGAAAATGAATTGGAATATTAGAAAATGATATTAAATAAAAAAAATTAATCTACATATTTATATAATATGAACCATTAGGAGCTATAGATATTAAATAACAGCACCAAAAAAAAAATATTAGGAGACATTTGTGCGGAAGTTATGACCACACACATGACATAACATTTATAATTATATTAGAAAGTATTGTGATTCTATATGTGATTATTTTCTATTTTTAATTAAAACTTCTATGCTAAACTTTTGTTTAAACCCAAAAATTGAAATGAACTTTAGTTATCACTTTCTTCAAGTAACATAATCAATCAAGTATAAGAGCGTTCATTGAATTAAATTGACCGTGTTACTTAAATGGTTTTCAACCCTTTTAAAAGAGTCTCTATTTAAAAACAAAATTAATTGTTTAAAAATATGAAAAATATTAATTATATTATTATGATTATTATTTAATAAAATTTAATTTATTTTTTAGACACAGGGAAACCATTTTAAAGGTTTTTTAGATTTTTAAACAATTAATTTTGTTGACTTTTAATTTACGTTCTGCCAAAACCGTCATGCCCGCTGGACATATCCGAGTCCGACCCACTGGGCGGTGAAGTTGCGGTTCGTGCTTACGAACACTACAAAACCCTAGCCTGCTTTACTTTCAGGTCTCACTCCTCAACTCTCCTGGGCGCAGCACTTGAGCTTCGGAAGAACGCCGGCACTGTAAGACCTGTCCCAGTTTCCAGTCTCTATTTCTCTTTCAATTTGTTTGCATTTTGATGAGAACTTGCCTTCTCTTACGAGCTGAATTTCTCTTGGATTCAATGTTGTTTTAGTCCTGGGTATTGACTCATTGGCTGCTCTTTGTTCTCTGTTATCAGATCTTGAATAAGGGCGGCACGTTTTTCTGTGAAGCCATGGCGCTGGTGAGTTATATTGGGGTTCTCAGTAATTTTCTGGAACAACTCAAATATGAAAATCTTGCTTCCCTTGATTGAATTGGTGCTGATCTGGTTTTTCTGATATTCATAATAGCACAATTGTGCACGTACGGCAATATGATTTATCTAATTTCTTGTGTTTGCTTTTCTTTCCCATAGTTTGGCTTAGTGTGAGAAGTTAGTCTGAGAAAAAAATAATGGTAGGGTGATGGGTTATGGAAGTTAAATACCCATCTATTATTGTGTGTTGTAGTTAGATCATTGAATCCGAAACTTAAGTAGTAGGAGAATACCTGTCCTAATATATTCAGGAAGGACATCTATTCCGTGAACTGATAAATCACATCTGAGTTTCTTACAGACCGCTAGAGGGAAGCTAGGATCTATAGCAAAATGTTGACTATGGAGTTTCAACTGATATTCGTATAGTCAATTAGAGTGTTATTGAAAAGAATGCGAAATCAGCAATCTGTGTTTAAGTGCGTCAGTAACTTTTCATGTCTGAGTGTGATTATAAAATTGATGTTTTCAATTTTAATGAACATGAGACCATTGAATAACGATGGATCTACCATTTATAAATGTTTCTGTTACATCAGCACAATTTTTATGCTATGTTGCATTTGATTTCATCATCAGTTTCAAATCTAGCTACCAGTTATTTCTATCATTGATATGCTTGCTCGTTATGTGTCTAGATCCTTCATGCAGGGAAAACTAATAAAAATGCCTACAAGACTCTCATTGCCGCTGAGTACAGTGGTGTAGATGTTAAATTGGCACCGAATTTTGAGATGGGTGTTTCTAATAAAACTCCTGAATTTCTCAAGATGAACCCTATTGGCAAGGTGTGCTATATTCTTATTCTATATTTAGGAAAAGATGATTTTATTGTGAACTTATATAGGATACATTGTCCTTTCAGGTTCCTGTGTTGGAAACGCCAGATGGTCCAGTTTTTGAGAGTAATGCGATTGCTCGCTATGGTAAGATTGTTTATACAAAAAAAATGCTTTTATTGTTCATGTAAGGGGAATTATGTTTTAAGTGTTTTTGTTGTGTTGGTGCAGTTGCTCGATTGAAAGGTGACAACGCATTGTATGGATCTTCTCTAATGGACTATGTAAGTTTTTATGGGGATCAATTCTTTTTCTCATTCAGTCTTAATGGTTTTTTAACATTTATCTAGGCTTCTTACTCATAGATAGAGAGTATCTCTCGTTTGCTAATTCTTTTGTTCTGAACCTTGTTTTGTTTTTGATATTTCAGGCTCACATTGAACAGTGGATTGATTTTTCATCATTGGAGATTGATGCTAACATTATCACCTGGTACAGACCAAGAATGGGACGAGCCACTTACCTTCCTCCTGTAAGTTAGAAAAATTTTCCTTTTTATTTTTCATTTGCCTATGGGCTATGGAAGTGCTGCGATATTTTCATTATGGAGAACTGATTCTGTCAATTCCTATGCAAAATTGATTTTAATTATATATGATGGGAACCTATTATGGGTAACGAAAGGGTTTCTAGAGCTTTCTTTTTTTTTTTTTTAAAATAATTTTAGAATACTCTCGTTTTAAAATTGCAATCGTTGGGTTCTCTTGATTAGGAGCTTATTGTAAGAATTGGTCTATGATAGAGCACATTAGTGCTAGCTTCGATAATGCTTTTGTTGTTGTTTAAGATTCTTGTAATAGGTCTATTGTCTATTGATATTCTGATTCTTGACACTTCTATGGTTTGATCTGAAAATTTTGTCTTTAATGAAGGTTGAGGAAGCTGCAATTTCTGCGCTGAAGAGAGCATTGGGTGCATTGAACACTCATCTTGCTTCTAATACGTATCTAGTTGGGCATTCTGTCACCCTAGCAGACATTGTTATGGCATGCAATTTGTTTCTGGGTTTCACTCAGCTCATGACTAAGAGCTTCACCTCAGAGTTTCCTCATGTTGAGAGATACTTCTGGACGTTGGTCAATCAACCCAAATTCCATAAGATCTTAGGTGAGGTTAAGCAGGCTGAAAGTGTTCTACCCATACAATCCGCACAGAGGCCCAAAGAATCTTCTAAACCTAAGAAAGAAGCTCAACCAAAGAAAGAGGCTAAGAAAGAAGCCCCTAAAGAGACTGAAAAGCCCAAAGAGGCTGAGGTGGAGGAGGCACCCAAGCCCAAACCCAAGAATCCTCTTGATCTTCTTGCTCCAAGTAAGATGATATTGGATGAATGGAAAAGACTGTACTCAAACACCAAGACTAACTTTCGTGAGGTTGCAATCAAAGGTATTCTTGCTAGATTTCATTGAGACTATTTGTATAAATCAGAATGAAGCTTGTATCAAGTTACAAATGTACAAGGATGCCTTTATTTCAGAGATGGCATTTTCACATGTTTTATTTCCTGTTTTCTTTCTTGCAGGATTCTGGGACATGTATGACCCTGAGGGATACTCTCTTTGGTTCTGTGATTATAAATACAATGATGAGAATACTGTTTCCTTTGTGACTATGAACAAGGTTGGTGGATTTCTTCAGAGGATGGACCTTGCTCGCAAATATGCATTTGGGAAAATGCTTGTGATTGGATCTGAGCCACCATTTAAGGTGAAGGGGTTATGGCTATTCCGTGGGCAAGAAATACCACAATTTGTTATTGATGAATGCTACGACATGGAACTTTATGAATGGAGAAAGGTTGATATCTCAGATGAAGCTCAAAAGGAGCGTGTCAATCAGATGATTGAAGATTGCGAGCCTTTCGAGGGTGAGCCTCTCCTAGATGCCAAGTGCTTCAAGTGAAAAATTAGTCCCTTGTTGGAAGGGCTTTTATTCGTGACGCTTCCTTTTTTGAGTAGAATTCGGTTACTTGTTTAATTTATAGTGAAGTATTAGCATTATGTGATTTGAGAAACATTAAAACCAAAGAGTTTTTGATTTTACCATCTTAATTTTGAGAGTAGAAAGACTCATGCGAGCGTGATGTTGGTCTCATTTTGAGTATAAATTTGTATGAAGCTGTGCTTGTGTTCTGGGATTAGAAGTCGGATAAATTTGGAATTCCATTCCCCCCCCCCCCCCGGTACTTAGATTAGTGGTCAGGGTTCTTATAGGATGAAGCATGGAGGTTCTTCCTTGTACCGTAAAGCACATGAGCTTCTTCCTTATGTGGAAGGCACGCTTCTTTTTTTCTTTTGGGGAAAAGAAAAAATGATAATATTAAATGAATTGGAGTTTTACATAGTACAAACACTTAGCTTACAAATAAAATGCTGAAAAAAACCTAAGAAAAGAAGACAGAGACAACATAAAAACTACTAAATGCATGCAATAAGAGAGATTGGTCATGCTAGATTATGCTGGTCTAAGTGGGAGGATCCATTGAAATGGGGATGAAGCAGCTGTTGACACAAGTAATTGTTAACGAAGGTCTTGATGCTGCGTCGAGGAGATCGGAATTGTGGATCGAAAACGGCGAGGCTCTAAAACATTGATTAATAAAAGAGATGCCAACTGTAGAATGACTTTTCCATAAAAACTCCTTTAAGGACAAATCACGATGCCAAATGGTGCCATGACAGTAATGTTGTTTTTCCCTTTTATCCTTGTAAAAGAAGATGTCCCATACCAAATCATTGAGAGCAATAGGAGAACCAAGAGGAGGGTTCACAAGACAACAGCTGCTAATATCTTGAGCTTGCTCCATGAAAGCTAAGGTAGAGAAAGAATGCAGATTGAAGACCTCTTTGATTCTGATTAATAGAGGATTACATTTACCCTCATGTGAAGCCAGATTTCTTTTCCTCCATATAATATTGAGTACACAAATGATTCCGCATACCAAGGAAGACTGACCACCTCTATGAAGATGAATAAGAGTATCTTTTAACCAACTCTTAAGTTCTGAAAAATTAGTTTGTGGGACTCTTATTGAAAAGCACAAAAACCAGAGAGATCTAGTAAGTGGACGAGAAAGAAATAGATGATCCAACGTCTCTTCTACTACACATCCAAAAAGACAAGTTCTTCAAGTGGTGATGATTTAGAACATCATCTGAGGGCAATGTACCATGCAAGAGCTTCCAAATTAATAGAAGGTGTTTCAGCGGGAGAGGAACCTTCCAGATGAATGTCTAAAAATCATCAGTTCTATTACCATCAAGAGAGAGGAGATGAGAGTACTTATCCTTGACCTTATAAGAGCTAGAGATATTGCCACTCCAAAATAACTTGTCAGAGGAATTTAAAATGAAAAGTGGGGTTGCAAGGATTGTACTAGCAATTTCTGTGAAATACAAGGTGTGAACTAGCAAAGAATTCCATTTAATGGAATTCCAAGAAAAAGGAACATGCACTGAAAGATCAGCCACAAGATGAGTATTCATCAAGGAAGCATAGTCTTGCTACATGGGTCACCTATTGAAAATCATTTTGGCTTTTACCTTTTGTTTTAATGGCCTCAGCCAATTTTGAAGTTTGAAAGTTTCTTTCCTCTCATTTCTTAGAACATTTTGGCGAACATATTAGGTTTGGGTATCTATATGTTAAAAATCATTCTACTTTTTAGTTGTTAAAAAGCTTTTGTTTTTTATCTAATATGAACAAATTAAGCAATGCAAGGCTTGTGTTTTTGATTTGGTGTGTGCTGGTGATTTAAGTTGGAGTTTCGCCATAGGTAGATAAGATGATAATGGGTGCTCTATTTTTAGGTATATTGTGGGTGGGCTGATAGTTGGTTTGCTTTGTTTGAGTATAGTTTAATAAGAATAGATTGAAAAAAAAATGAAGGTTGGTATGGGTAGAAACTTTTACTACGAAATGAGATATTATTTTATCAATATAGGTTGAAGTAGTTGTCAATGTGGCCACAATATTTGTCAATATTGTTACTTCACTTGTTAATAATGACTATGTGATGCAGGTTCACACTAAAGAAGATGAGTATTTTTGGAAAGCATCTATGTTGTTTTTTCCCCTATATAGCAGGTAAGTTTATAAGTGATGGAGAATATAATATATGTGTCAGGAGTAGTGTAAGAACAAGAAGTGTAAAGAATGACACAAGTTATACAAAGTTAAAGGAAATTATATCACCATTATTTCTTAGAAAAGAAAGTAATTCCTTTGATATGAAATTCTTAGTTGTGTTTTATAAAAATACTTTTATGGTGTTAGTAGATGGTAAAAAGGTAGAGCATTTACTAAATTTAAATGAAGAAAGTGGTCATGTGCATATAGAAAAGAATGGAAACAACAACCATATAGATGTAGTGAGGGATGATGCAATGAAAGAGTAGGATGTGTAGGTTTAGTTTGTACAATTATTTTCTATTCTCATTTTTTGCTATGTAAATTATTACTAACATACTACTAAGTTGTCATTATATACACCATAACTTGTCTTTTGGAGGTGTAAATCGATTGTCTATATTTCCACTTAACCTGCTTAATGAGATTAGAGTGCCACCATCAATTCCATGTGCTATGAAAGGTGTAATGAGGCTGGACATAGTGCCAAGATAAGCAGAACCCAAATCCTAGTTGAGAACTTGTTGTGTAAGCCTTTTTTTTTTTTTTCTTTTGCATGGTTGTGAATGGAACTTTTTATACCTGTGACAATACATCCTAATAATTAGCTTGGTATTAGATACATGTGACTCATGTTTTTTTAGAATGGGTTGTGAAATTGGTAAAACTACATGTATATGAAGCTGTGAATGAAAGTTGGCTATAAATAGTATGTTCAATTATGATGCGCAATCAATTGTAATTTTCTGCACCTTGCATTGTCAATACATGCTTCCCTACTTGTCAATTATTGTACTATCATTTGTCAATCTATCTACTGATATATGGTTGATTATAATGTCATATGATATAGGGTCGGTTATAATGTCATATAAGATCCCTGATAACACACTTATCATCACTGATATGAAATTATGTAATCACTTGTCATTCACTACACCTTGACTTGTTACTGGTTGTAGTTAGACTTGTTATTAGCTTCACTATCACTCATCAATCATAACATTATGACTTGTTAATTGTTGGAATTATCACTTTTTAATGGCATTCAATTAATATAACTTTCAATAATACATTCTAGGTATAATGAGTTATAATGTGCTATGATATTTATATTTTAAGATATACATATATATATATATATATATAACTCAATAGCAAATTGGAAATGAAGAATATCTTTAGTTGTCAATGTTTTCTATATCAGTTTTTAATATCTACACTCTACATTTTAGTAATTGCAATGTCACTTGTTAAATTTCTTAGTGATATGTAATTTATATTTTTTTTGTTTAACATGTAAGTAAATAAATGCAATTCAATATAATTGGACTAGTTCTTGCTATATGTAACATGTTGAAACATGAATGTTGAAAAATAAAGTAGTCATGTTATATACAGTTTAACATAATTGGATTGGTTCCTATTATAAAATGAGTTGTCAACTAAAAGGCTAGTCCATAATTGTTAATATCTTTATCAGCACCATAGGCATCTGACCTTGAGCTCTTGTAGTTCGTTCCTTGAATACCATGGCATAGTAAATCTTACATTATCACAAATAGTGTCATCTCACCCATATAGCCATGAGAAGACATGAATGCCACACTAATCACTTTAAACAAAATTTAACATGTAAGGATCATGTGAACCTTATTGCAAACTACAATAAACGAATTAATTCAGTCTAATAAATAAATTCACGTATCATACTAGACAAAATGATATGTAAATTGTAAAACTGTATATGAAAATGGAGCAAACAAAATAAAATTTGAACATAAGACGCCACCGAGCACTACAACATAGACTTTTTCAAAACGATATTTTGAGATTATAAATTAATAGATATGTTTAATCCCCCACTATGAATGTGTACAATAAAATAATAGGAGACAAAATCTAATTTGAAATTTATTCTATTGGAGAAATTTATTTAAAAAACAAAGAAAAGAATAGAAACAAGGTATAATAATCTCATGCTTGTGAAGAGGTTGCCATCGAAATATAATTCATTAGCAAAAGCTGCTTGTGAAAAGAATGAATGGACTTGTAAAACAAATAAAACAAGTCATATTATTTGCATAATATAATATACATATATACTTTAACAACAAAAAAACTACACGTATCTTACTAATATTAGAAAGGGAAAAAGCAAATTTCTTATGACTATCAAATTGCATATCTTATAGTAACTACATATGAGTAGTCTACCAATTGTAACTATATAAGTATTTTGTGCATAGCTAATAATAAATCATGTATTACATAAAACACTAAACTGCATTTTTATTTCTCCATGATTTTTTTATGCTATAGTTGAAATGAGAAATTATGAAGTATACTCTTATCAACAGATTAGGGGAAAAAACCCACTTCATGTATAATGATTAAACATGTTGTATAATATTGCATACTTTCTCCCTTATGTTGATTTTTTGTACTTCTTTTAATTTCATATTTAATAATTATTCAAAGATTATCATATGAAAAAAAATTTGTAAAAGGTTTCTTTAATTTTACATGATAGCCTTTCTTTCTATACTATCTGGCTATCGAGAAGATAAAATTTTCTCATCATTTTCTGAAGAACACAATTAAAATAATAATGCCAATTAAAATTAATTAGACACTTTTTAATATATATTTTGTGTTAAAAATTTTACTACGAATTATGATGGAGAGAATTTTTTAAAAATATATTTGATAAATATTTTTTTTAGGCTTTTTAATTTTATACTTAATTGGTTCATTACTTTCGTATTTTACAATATTAATTAAGTTGGCAAAAACCAAAAAACTTGAACCTTTTTTAATATCTTTCTATTTAAGAGAAATTTTGGTATATTTTTAAGAATGTTGCACTTTTTTTTTCTTTTGCATCTCCTTTGTTTTATATTAACCGGTATCAGAGCTTGATTCTCGCTTCTCTTCCACTGTCGTTAAAGCCTTTTAAAATTAGTCTCTTTAATATCTCCAACATACATCAATTAGTATCAAAGTCACATCTTTATTTTTTATTTTAACTAT